AGAGAAGCCACACCCTGGGCTGCTGGGAGGCAGGACAGGACTAGGTGAGGGGGACGGGACAGGCACTGGGAGCTCTGGGGGCCTGGACTAGTGCTGGGGGCTCTGGGGTTGGGAGACTCTAAGAGGTGAGGGGATTCACTGGGGGGTACTGGGGTAGCTGGGGTGGGGAGCTGGCACTGGCAGACTCTGGGGACAGGGCTAGTAGTGGGAGGCTACAGGGCAGGGCTGGCACTGGGGGGCTCTGGTGATGGTGGGCTCTAAGGGGCGGAGGCTGACACTGAGATGTTTGGGATGGCATGGGGGGGCTGGGTGCAGGGAACTCTAGGGTCAGTGGCTGGTGCTGAGGGGTAGTGAATCAGTGGGGGGTAGGGCTGGCACTGGCATCTTAGGGGACTAAGGTGTACCTCAGCCCCCAGAGCTGCCACAAACAGCTGGTTTCAGCTGTGGCAGCTGCCCACCACAATGGCAACGGCCGGAGCTCAAGCCAGCTGTTCACGGCAGCTCTGGGAGCTGGGGCTTTTGGCAGACCAGCAATATTTCATTTGCATATTTGCATATTCATAAACATGTGCAAATATGCAAATAAAATGTTACTGGTCCACGAAAAGTTTGTGAATGCATTTGCCGGTCCATGGTTTAAAAAAGGTTGGGAACCAATGCTGTACATTAAATGAAATTAAAATATACACATATATTTATAATGATTTCTTTCACCTGGAAAGTATCGCTGATTTGTGGTAGAGCCTCTCTTTCTTTCTGCTATTGTTTCTGAGCTCAGGAAACTCCTGCATTGTGGCTTTAGGGTACAAATCCTGGTTAGCAAGAAATTCTTCCTTTTCATCTTTTATAATCTCCTCCTTCAGCTTCTTAAATCGTAGCATTTCTTCTTCATTAGGCCACTCATCTGACAAATCCAAACTGGATTCCATCAACTCAGTTAAGTTCAACTTTTCAACAGGTGGCATTTCTATTGGAGTAAAGATGAGATTACTTTATATTCCTTTATCAGAGTAATGAAGTTACTAGATTTTGTTCAGCAATTTTCTATTTTTCCCCAGTCAGGAATGTGACTTTACATGTGAAAGACTAATTTGTTATTCTCATAGTCTGGCCTTTCCCCCACACTAGGGCTACGGCTACACTATGAGTTTTGCCACAAGAGCCTATGCAAATGAAGCGTGGATTAGCATTTTCCCGTCGAGGCATAAGGATCTTACGGAAAAAGTTTTTTTTGCTAAAAACGGCCATGGCCCCACTGCCAGTTTTTGCGCAAAAACCCCTACCGCAAAAATGGAATGAAAGAGAGCATGCAAAAGAAGCGTGGGAAAATGCTAATCTGCCCTTCATTTGCATATGCTCTTGCGGCAAAACTCATATGTAGCCGTAGCCTAGCAAACTACAACAATCATCTGCACAAGGAGCAGTAGACAGTGCATTACAATGAATGGAACTATTGTCTATAATGGTTAAGTTAACACCTCATGACAAAAAGAAATGTGAGGTCTATGTTATTTTGAGATTGTCTCTTTACCCTACCACTATATATAGTTAACTTAATGTCATGGAAATAAAAAAAATCAGCTAAACTTTTCACCACGGTACATTCTCTTTACAAGAGACACTTAACTTTGGAAGCCCCGGGGGCCACAATGATACTCACAGCACATGGCAAGGGCCACGACTTAAGTGTAGTTACATATACATGCAAATATATGCAAATAGCTTATTTCACACTGATAGACATGCATACAAAGATTAAGACAAGACTACACAATACACAGGCCCCATTTAAGTCAGTTCTGCTGATATTAACAAAAGGCAATATTTACCCGATTTCCACCCATATAGCAGCACTTTCAATGAGCAATGACAGTCTAGGAATTTAATTACTAAAACACATATCAACAGAAGATCATTATATTGACTACTTTTTTGTTTTGGCTCCCACCTGTGGGCCACGTGTTGAGCCCCACATAAACCCAAACCGCACCATGGGCTTCAAACAAATGGGCTGTTTAAATCCCAATTAAGTCAATAGGATTTAAAGACATACATAGGCGTTTTGCTGAATCAGAGCCTTGGGATAAATCTACACTAGCACTTTACAACTCCCATTCCCCCTCTGGAGTGCAACAAGTTGCAGCACTGTAAAGTGCTGTTGTGAACAAGGTTACAGCTCTGGGAGTCACTCCCCTTGAGGAGGTGGTTTACATACAACGTGTTAAATTTTAAATATAGACAAAGCCTTTGACATCTCTCTTCTCATAGTTTGCTGCAGTTGAGACTATCTGGGATATCTATTAATCAGCCCTCATCTTAAATATTATGAGGCTGGTGAATAGATGTTATCAGACTGTGCCACAGGACTCTGAAATTTGCCCCTGGAGCTGACTGGACTGTGCCAAAGTCTCCGGGCCATTAGAGAGCAGTAGCAGGCTCATCTCTTTTACTTAAAGCACATACATTTCTCATTTATTTAGTTTTGAGCACTTAACCATGCAATATTTATATTTTCTTAATTTTGGGGGGGGGGACTAGTGTAAATATATACTATATAAACTATGAGTGAATGAATGAGTAAATGAATGTGCATACATACACTCTATGCATTATGACCAGCATATAAGATATTTGTACCAGAGAAATAAATATTAAAGGAAAGTAACAATGCTAAGCTAATATACCATAGTATGTCTCAAATGTGTAGGTATAGATCTGTTAGTCCAATTAGGAAAAACCTTTTAATACAGCCAACATTAACTTATCTATTTGGCATTTCAATTTAAGAAAATAATCTCAAATTATTTGTATGTGCATTTTCTATACTTACACAACTTGAATATCTTTTATATTTACACGTCAGGTCTAAGATATATTAATATTTGGTTTGGCAGAAGCTGCAGATATGGAATTTCCCTGAATCCCAAAGAAATAAACAGCTGTATTTCACTTCTCTCTTTGCCTCAAATTTAGAGGAAATGTATTCTCCCATAGCACATTTTGTCATCTTCTCTGCATGAAGTGTATATATACTACCTCTTGCATACTGCTCATCCAGCAAGAACAGATGGGCCATGTGGGAGGGAGTAGAAAAGTCTTCTATATTACAGAAGGTTTCCAAATGTGGCATGCCCACAAATTCTGAAAATGAAAATCCGCGAGGGGTATATTTTCCTTAATTATAACAATAGCTAAACGAAAGTAGAACAGTGTGATATTGCAGTAGCATGAGTTATGAAGCTGTTCCAATACATTTTATAATTATTATTTAGTTAAAATATATTGCCTTTGAAAGAAACAGAAAATAAATAGCATGCAAAGCTACCTTTTTATGTAGTTCTACAGTAGCAGAAACAAAATCCATATGATTTTCAAAATCATGTATATTCCAAAGAAATTAGACCAAAAAAAAAAGAAAAAAAAACTGTAGTGGTTTTTAAAAACAATTTATTTGGCTTTTATTTTAATGTATAAGAAATATTTATAGGATAACAGGAAAATAGGTATGCTAATCTATATTGCAACAGAAACAAAACACAGTAATAAAATGATTGTTAAAAAAAATTGTGTTAACATTTATATATACATTACCGCTACATCTACACTGGCAGCTTCTTCCGGAAGAACATTTTTGTGGCAGAGTTCTTGTGCAAAAACTCTTCCAGAAGAGAGTGTCTACACTGGCATGTGCTTTTGCGCAAGAGATGTGCTTTTGCGCAAGAGCATCCGTGCCAGTGTAGACGCTCTCTTGCACAAGAAAACTCCGATGGCCATTTAAACCATAGGGGCTTCTTGCACAAGAAATTCATGTTGACTGTCTACACTGCCCTCTTCTGGAAGAGCTCTTGCGCAAGAGGGCTTATTCCTCGTGGGGAGAGGAATAACTCTTCCGGAAGAAGCCGTGTTTTACAATGCTATACTGTAAATTTACTTCTGGAAGAACGCACATGCAGTGTAGACAGCCAGGAAGTTTTTGCAGAAGAACAGCTATTCTTCCGGAAGAAGCTGCCAGTGTATACGTAGATGGTGTTTACTTTCTGGTTAATGATACCTTTTCACTCTAAACTTCAATTTATGGAAAATTTGTTATGTGGGATCTTGCTTAGGTATTTTTTAAAGTTGTCAAGGAAAATTATAAGGATACTTTCCATGTGGAAAACAGCAGTAAATTACATTGTAGCTAAGATTTCAAATGGGGATCAGCATAATTGAGCTTTATCTTGGTACAGCTGCACCAGAATTTTCTTCAAACCTACATATGCAGGCTTCTTTTATCCTGGCTAGTAAAATATGGACTTAAGTTTGTGTCCTTCAGAATGTCTGTGGTCTTTTATAATGGCTCTATATAGTCTCTGTGAAAATTATAATTTTGTGAAAGGTAGGTACACTGTTTTGTAATTTGAGTGCATTTTGGTGCACAGGAAAAGAGACAGACAAATTTGCGGGCAGAGAAAAAAGGGCTAGCCTTTAATATTATGAAGCAAACTTATAATTTCAAATGTTTGTATATGAGCAAGGAGAAATGGTACATGTTTAATCTTTGGTGGGAAAATTACTGGTAGTTTCCATCACAACTAAATCTTCTAAATGATCTTTAACATCTCATGATCCCTTTAAAAGCAAGGTACTTTGCTGGAGGGTCTGGGTTGGAGAGAAGGCTAGGAAGGATGGCGGGGAGAAAGAAAAAGCACTGCCTGCCAGGGAGACGGGTGGGGAGGAAAGGGCAGAAAAGGTCCTGTCAGCCAGAAAGGGAAAGAAAGCCCTACCAGATATGACACCCCACCCTCTGCCCCGAGTCTCTCTTCACCCCACCCTCTCTCTCTTGTGTCTTCAAGCCCACAGCTTTCTGCCCCTTTCCCCCCTCCCCTACACATTGCAAAGGCCCTGTCCTGACTCCTGCACCCCCTCCACACCCTTAGCTCCCTGTCCTGAAGGACCCAGACAATGAGTCTTCCAGTATAAGAAATTAGTGGCCAGGATGTGCTATATATTGTCTAGCCATATAGGAAGATGGCCACTGCCCTGAAAACCTTACAAAGGATGAGGAAAAGGGATATAACATGCAGCCTTGCGGGTTAAGGTTATGAATCATTGGCACATGTGGTTAGTTCTGCTGGTGGCGTAACGTGGCCGGCAGGAGTGGCGGCAGGCGAGGAGTGGCAACCAGCGGCGGCAGCAGGCGAGGCACACTGCAGGTGAACTTTGGGAGACTGGGTGGCACGGACCAGGGACAGAGACTTTTGGGGTGTCGGACTCTTTGGACTTCAGATGATTCTTGGCTGGGGGGGGGGGCTTAGCTCATGTTTGGGTTATGAACTCTGTTTGTGGTGTTTTCCCCAAGTTAATGCCGTATGACTTCTCTCTCTGTTTCATTAAATGTTTCTTTCCTACATTCAGACTCAGTGCTTGTGAGTGGGGAAGTATTGCCTCTCAGAGGTACCCAGGGGTGTGTGAATTTCCCAGATTACTGGGTGGGTGCTCGAGCCGGTTCTGTGTGAGATGGACCCCAAGATATTGAACCCAGCTCTGGTTACTGCCAGTCCTACCTGGCAGAAGGGTTACACTAGATATCTATCAAAAGTACTTCATGGACTGAATTTAGAGAAAATCTGATATAAGTCATTGATTTTAGTCTCACTATTTGTAATAGCTGATTATTCAAAAGTGATTATCAGAAAACATTACAAGTTCTTCTGCACAGAGTAAAACCAAGGAATTCCCTATCTACAGACTATGCACTTTTTACAAACAAAAGATCAGCTCTTTAATTATTACTAATGATATAAAAACTGAATTTTAATAGATACAGAACAAGATTTACTTGTGAACTCTAACAACATTATTATCAAGGGTCTAGGAGTTTTATTCCTTCTGCATAACAGAAAAAATAATTCCATGGCTATTTTAAATTTCTTATTCAAGATCATGCAAATAATTCTCAGGGGGAATGTACTTTTCATAATAAATAAGAGTTCATTGTTACAAACAATTGTTCCCCTTAAACAGAGATTGTTTTGCTTCCATTTTTCATGATCAAATTTATTTATTTCTTATTGTAATTGTAAATTGTAATTTATTTATTTCTTATTGAAAATTGTAAAAAGCCCAGTTCCATTTTAAACAGGGGCTTTCTAATATATTTTAAAAATAGAAAGGTCTTATTACCCAATTACTTCCAAAGTCTATAAGGGTATGTCTACACTTCATGACTATTCTGGGATACCACTGGTATCCCAAAATAGCTACCCCACATTTACATAAGCTACCTATTAATTCGAAATATTTTTCGAAATAACGGGCATGCTAATTTGGCATCCTGGTAAACCTCGTTGCATGAGGGCTAAGGGATGGCTTGAAATAGCACGTTATTTCAAAATTCGGTGCTCTGTAGATGCACCAAATGTCAATAGATTCGAAATAAGATACACAATTGTGCAAATTGTGTATCTTATTTTGAGTTTAGGGTGCTGTGTAGGCACACTCTAAAAGGCAAAATTTTGAATATCTTACATGGAAGGTAAATTCTTGTTCAAAATTAAAGATAAGTATTTGGTATTTCTCTCCTAAACCCAAGCTTTCATTTCAGCTCCACAAAGGATCATGTTGTTGATGGAAATGCTAAGTACACATCCATTTAAAATATAGCCATTGGTCTCAGGTATATTAAACACAAACATAAGCCATACAAACTACTTTTTTCATTTGGTTTCAGAAATGTAACTATAGTATTATTTGATGTGCTACATTTTAATAGTAAGATTCAATAATACATTTTAAAGATTATACATTCTGTAGACATTGAAATGTATGTATACAAATGTATGCAATTGTTAGTATGTTCCTAGCAAACATAAAAAGTTATCTTTCTCCAAGATTCTACTAAACTCACTAATGAAGCTCATCTGTTTCCATGGACCAGTGAATGCTTTCCTAAAGACAGGGTATGTCTTTGAATTTCTCTTGTACTCTTTAACAATGGCCTTTGCTTCTTCTTGTAGCATAGAAGGCAATTCTGTGAAATACAGAACTTTAAAGTATGTGCATATTATAAAAGTCTACAATAAGACTAAACTGGACAAAAGACTAGAATATATTATAAGGAGCAATCTTGCATCCTAAATGATCTTCTCTATCTGTGATCTAGGGTACTAACTTACGGCAAATAGTATTGGTAGTAGTGAAGATGACAGGCATTTTCTAGACAATGGTATGTTAATTTTCAAATGATCTGAACAGAGAAATAGTTTGAGGCAGGCTCATGTAGGCAGGTGCTAGGCTCACTTCTTCAAGCAGATTTTTGAATTAATCTCATCCTTGACCTACCATAACTCTTTCATTCCAGTAAGATCCTTTCTTGAGCAGATAGAAAAAATATGCCAGATTGTATTGGTTTTGTGATGTAGATAAATAGGGATGAGGCTACCAAAACTCATTGACTCAAGTCCTAATCCAAGATTTGAGAATTTAGCCCTCCAGATAAGTCAGTTTAATTCACTAATCCTCTGTTCTACTTAGTCTCTCTAATAAGGTATTTGCATCTGTCTACAGTCAGCACAAAAATAACTACCTTTTGCTAGTAAATAAGCTAATTGTTACAGAAGAGCATAATAGTGATGCTATCAAACCTAAAACTTTTCTTAGTTTTGATAACATAAAAACATAAGTAAATGCATTTTGTGTATTTTACTCAGTCAATAGTTTCAAATAATAATGTATGCTCAGTATCATATCAAACAGGAGTGAAGAAGCTTCAGTGCATCAGCTGCATGGGATTTGTCAGGGTTAGCCATTGGTGGGCCACAAGAGAGTCCGTTTATCTGAGCATCTGCAGGCATGGATTCTCACAGTTCCTAGTGGCCACAGTTTTCCATTCCTGCCAATGGGAGCTGAGGGAAGTGGCACAGGCAGGGCCATCACTTCCTGCAGTTCCCATTGGCTTTGAATGGTGAACCACAGCCACTGGGAGCTGTGGAAATCTGTGCCTGTGGACTTTCAAGTAAACAAACCATCTGATGGCCCACCAGTGGGTCACCCTGATGAACTGGAGGTTTCCCATCCCAATATAAAATAATATGGTTCCTTTATTTGAAAGAACACTGGTTTAATTTGACCTTTAATTTAATGAAATAATCTTCAGAAAAGTTTCCATCAAATAGATCTACAATTTTTAAAAAATCATTTACTTTTTATCAGCATAGGATTCTTTATACAGACATTGTGTACATTCTTGAATATGCTTAGATTAGCTATTGTTCTGTAATCCCATCTCCAAGAGAATTCTTTTTTTGACCATTCTCAGCACGGTTACTCAGTGGTATTGATACAGAAGGTGGCTCTGGCAATTAAGTAATGAATTCTACTTTCTTTCCTGGTCAGTGCTGAACCAGCTCCACAACAAACTGATACGGAGCACAGTGCTGCTAGAGATACAGTCCTCTACCTGAGATCTGAACATTTGTGGTCATTAAAACACACATAGCAGCATCTCTTTTAGCAATTCTTCACATTTTCTGCTCTCCGCGGTGCCTTTCAGATTTCCTTCTCTTTGTCTCCTTATTCAGGCTGCCCATAGTTTCAACTATGTGAATGATTCCCAGATCGATCTCTTTATCCTTCATCCCTCACCTTATATCCATTACAAGTTGAAATTTCATAATCTGGCCTTCCCTAGTCTGGCAACACTCCTGGTCCAGTATTATCAGGGTGACTGCATGGGGCGAAGAGCGTTGCCAGACTAGAGGGTCAAGAGAGCAGAGGCCTGTGCGGCAGTGGAGCTACTGGGCACACCATAGAGTCCTTGCTGGCAGCAGGGCTGCGAGGGAGAAACCTTAGTGGTAGTAGAGTCACTGAGTGGAGTACAGACCTTCAGCCAGCAGTGGGGTCACTGGAAAGAGCCCCTGGCAGCAATGGAGCTGCCAGGTGGATGCAGAGCTCTAGGTGGCAGTGAAGCTGCTGGGAAAAGCCCCTGGCAGGAGTAGAGCTACTGGGCAGAGTGCAGAGCTCCAGGAGACAGTGGGAGCTGCTGGGGAGGGGTGAGCACAGAGCCCCCCCTCCCATGGCAGCAGCCATGGGACAAAAGCAGACCCCCAGGTGGCAGCAAAGCCATAGGGTGGAAAATGGAGGCCTCCCCCCGAGAGAGAGCTGAGCCCTGGGCGGCAGTGGGGCAACAAAGGAGGAAAAGTAGAGCCCCTGGTGCACTGACAGTAAGGTTCCAAGAGTGCCGGACCAGGGAGATTCAACCTGTATTGCATCTCTTAATGTATCTGAAACATCTCTTTTAATAAAGAAAAAGTCTATCACCATTCCGAACCCAACATTTCTAAAATTCAGCTTTTTATTGCTTCTTCTGATAGGAATATCTGGTTACATAATAGGATACATATTTATAAACAATATAATCCCTTTTGCTTTAGGACATATGCTAATCACTAGCTGCCTGGGGTTAAAGAAATTTCTTCTATGAAAAAGTTATTTCATGTCTGTTTTCTATGGGACTTTTTAGACCATTCTCTGCAGCACTTACTCACTATCAAAGGGTATGTCTACACTACCCCGCTAGTTCGAACTAGCGGGGTAATGTAGGCATACCGCACTTGCAAATGAAGCCCGGGATTTGAATTTCCCGGGCATCATTTGCATAAGCGGGGCTCCGCCATTTTTAAAACCCCGCTCGTTCGAACCCTGTGCCGCGCGGCTACACGTGGCACGAACTAGGTAGTTCGAACTAGGCTTCCTAGTTCGAACTACCGTTACTCCTCGTGGAATGAGGAGTAACGGTAAAACTTAGGAAGGATAGTGGAGCTTCCAAGAAACAGAGGAAAGGGAATATAGCAATTGTCATAACAAATCCAACAGGTGGTTTACTGTCCTCTCTCTGGGTATGTCTACACTACCCTCCTAGTTCGAACTAGGAGGGTAGTGTAGACATACCCAGAGAGAGGACAGTAAACCACCTGTTGGATTTGTTATGACAATTGCTATATTCCCTTTCCTCTGTTTCTTGGAAGCTCCACTATCCTTCCTAAGTTTGAGCCTATGTCTACACTGCAGGTTTTTTTGCGGAAGAGGATATGCAAATAGTGTGCTCATTTGCATATCTTGCATTCTCATTTGCGTATCTGCTTCCGATTCTTTTGCAGAAGAGGTTTTGCCAATAAAAAGCCCTGGGTAGACGGGGCCATTTGTCGGAAAAAACCCTTTTGCACAGATCCTGTAAACTTCACTTTTTGTGGAATAAGGGATCTTGCGCAAAAGGGGTTTGTTCCAACAAACGGCTCTGTCTACATGGGGCTTTTTAACGGCAAAACCTTTTCCACAAAAAGGATTGGAAGACAATATGCAAATGAGCATGCACAATATGCAAATGAGTATCCATTTGCATATCCTCTTCCACAAAAAACCCGCAATGTAGTCATAGCCTGAGTGTCTCAACCTTGGCATAATCTCCTTCCTGACAGTTTCTCACTAAGGCCTGTTATTATTTCTAAATATCATCATAATCTGGCTTTTTCTTTGTGTCCCCCTTGCTAAAAATCCTTGTATATGTTAGTCATTTTTCTTATTGCTTTACAAACATGTCCAGGCTTCCATGTTCTCATGTCTCCTCTAGTATCAAAACTGCCTTTTTTGAAGACATCTTCCACTCCCATTGCTCCAGCCTTTCTCTCTTACCACATAAAAATCAATCACCTTTTTTGCAACTTCAGTACCCTAAAATATGTTTTTAAAACATCATTTTGTTCACATTTTGTTCAATTATAATTTTAATAACTATTCATAAATCATTGCTCTACATACCTTGAGTAGCTGGCTCTAAATCGACAAGTTTTCCACTACCAACATTTCGGAGAAAGCACATAATGGAATGCAGTCCCCTTTGTACAACATCTTGAGGTGGAAACTCCAGAGGACAATGTCTTAGATTCAATGCTGTCAATGAAGTCAAGTTACCTGTAAAATTAGTTGTAAACATTTTAGAAGAAAAATATATCTTCAGATTCAGGACTCAAATGTGACTAAGGAGCAGAAATTTATTTGCCATCATAATGGTTTTTTGTTGCTCCCTCCCTTTGACATCCCTTCCCCATTTGTATTCTGCTGTTTAAAATATTGATGCTTCATTATTCTAATTTTGGTGCAATAAATTAATACACTTTGGGTTATGAACAGAACTCTACCACATTTTTTTAATTTGTTGTCCCCTATTCATCTAATTTTATCCATTAAATTTTTGGTTTTGGTCCTTTGCTCTGCATTCCCTCTCTCCCAATCTTTGTCTCTCCACTGCTTTCCATTTACAAGACTACCACTCCTAAAATGCTTGGCACTATTTTTACAAAAGGAGAGAGAAGTCTCCAGCCCCACAGACAGGAGATAAATGTTAGCTACTGCTTTATTTCCTGAGAAGATGCAGTAAATGTATGCATCCTGTTGGCATGCCTCAGTCTTGTACTGTGCAGGCACAACATGACAGCCAGCCCTAGAAAGAACCACTGTGTCAGAGCTACAATTAGCAGTGCACCACCTTTCTTGACAGCATCCTCAATTCTGTGGGAGAGCTGGGGACAGCTGCCAAATAAGCAATTCGGGTCCAGGGATCTTTGATCTACATCTACCCCACTCCATCACAAGGTCTGAATTAATAAAAGTAAAATAAGTGATCAAAATAAAAAATTCTCTATACAGAATGAAATTGTGTTCTAAAACAGGTAATTAATAATAGTAGTATTTATATTTTTATAGATTAAAAACAAACCTCAGAGTTAAAACCTATGATTTAGATTTTTTTTAAACAAAAGTCTACTCAATTTCTAAAAGATGGCAAATATTTTGGCATGGCATGATTGATGTTAGGTTAATAGTTAAAATATTTGGAAGCACAATGTGAAAAATGAGATCCTTATTCAAGTCGCTGAGAACAGATTTTTCACACTGTCTTGAGAAAATGGCACTTTAAACACTTCATTCACAGCTTGACTGAACATCAATTTATTTTGTCTTGATTTGTAAAGGCACAGTACTTAATATTCAGTGTGAGCTTACTTTATGCTTTACTCATTACTTTATGCTTTACTCCATTAAGTAATATATTTGTATTTTAAAATGTTTTCAGTCAAATCTTACTTTCAGGAATGACAACTATATTATTTATAGCACAACCATCTGATTCTGAATGATTAGTAATTAAAAGTTGAAAGGAATGTTGCAAAACAAACTTTGCAACATGATTAACAATTACACTGACATCAGTCCCCTACAAATGCCAATTACAGCAATATTGACAAAGGCTCACACACAGGAAAAATAAACATAAAAATATAAAGCCAGCATGAAAATAACAGGATAAAAATGAGATTTGGACTCAGAACTGGGATGCTCCATGACTATACGGTATGTTGAAGAATCTTTTCTTCCAGAACTCGGTGGAGTAGACTATACAGTGCTTATGTTCCTACTCTACTGAAGGCACAAGCCCATGTAAAAAAGTAGTGATGAATTAGTAAAGGGGACCCTCTCTAACACTTAGTGATGAATTAGTTAAGGGGAACCCTTCTACAGCCAGTGGATTTGAAGCACAGGAAATATTGATGCTCTTTGTGGGCTTCCAATATTCTGCCCCTCCCCTGTGGAATAGACTTGTCTTGGTTCCACAGTTATTTTGGACCCATTGAGTCCATAGACAAAGGACCAAGATATCATATTTATTTTGAACTAAAAGT